AGCGTCGAATTCAGAAACGATGGGATTCAGGGTAATAAACCCACCAACTCCAATTACAGCATTGGCAACATTTCCCATTCCAATTCTAATTACCCCAATTTCTCCATTCCCAGCCACAATTGAACTTACATTTATGGACTTAGCTCTTATTTTTCCGGAATTGGCATCAGAAACCTTTGTCTGAGCCCAGGAACATAGGAATATGGAGATCCTCTCCAAATCTCGCTGGAATTGGCCTTAACCTCTCTGAAATTAGAGAAATCTCAAGGCTCATGGTTGAAAACACTCCCAGTCGGGTTAAAAATTGTACGAGAAAATGCAGACCCATCACTAATTGGGGACAAAATTTGAAGACCCTGGACATAACTTGCTGAAATTGGTCCCAATTTCACTAGAATTTTGAGGCCCAACCCCCATTACACCTGAATTAGGCCCAACCAAGCCCAATGTGGCTTTGCCCACACTAGAATCGCAAGACCCAGCCAAATTTGGGTCTAATTCTCTGACCCGACAGGCCCCAGATGGATTCAGATCATGGTTGGCTACCCACTCCGAATCGCGAAGGCAAACAAGCCCCTCTCTCTGCCTTTCGGCGCCCCTTCCACCAGTTCTCCTCCGCGCGGCCTCTAGTCGTAGTTCGGCCCCAGCCCATCGCCAATCTACACTCCATGGCGTCGCTCCCCTCTGATCTAACCTCTAAGTCGTGGATCCAAAAGATTTTGGTTGAATCCCAACTCCTGCCACCCCCGAGCATCGCGCAGGTCAAATCCGTCGCCGATTAGCCCTCCCTATCGCGGATCTGAGATTCCTAAGCCCTAACTAGTGGCGATCTACTCGCAAATCGAGTCGATTCTGGTCGAGATCGACACATCCACTGTGCGGGTTCTCCTTGCGTACAACCACCTCCCCTTTAGGCGGTCTGATCTGCCCTCACTTGCGCAGTTCCACATGATTCTGGCTAGCATCTCCAAGTCCGAAAACCCTAGCCTCTTCTTTGAGAAGATCCGCCTCCTTCCGCAGCCTCCGATCATCATCCGCCCTTAGATTGACGCTGATTGACTCAAATGAGCGATTTCCCACCAAATCGCAAAAAATTGCTCGGAGTGTCGTCGGCCTCACGCGATTCCAGATCTCTTCGCGTTGCCTCTGAGGTCGTTTGTCGGTTTTGACGTTCCAAATCTGGTCACGTCGAGCCACAGCCAAAAACATGAAGATCTGAAATCATTCCTACGTTTTGTGGCCAAACCTTCATATTCGTCCTTGAAAGCAATCTTTGAGTTGGTCTGAAACGTTGAAGCAAAATTCATCTTGAATGCACTCCAACAAACAAATGGCAGTCTTCTATCCTCTCACTGAAACCAATCTAGTGCCTTATCTTCTATGAATTCCTCTGCAAACCAGAACTTTTCACATTCCGAAAATCGATTTTTCAGATGATATTCTTCCACTTTTACAATCCAAGAATCTAGATCTTCTCCGAAGAACATCGGCATTTCTAATTGCTACCAACGTCCACATGTTCCAGTCAGTTCTATACCCAAGAAAGTACTGCTCTGATACGAATTTGGTAAGAATCGGACTTGAATTGGGGAATTGAACAAAAAAAGTAAAACTATATTGATGATGTAATAGAAAGAGATTACAAGATAGATTCACCGATGTTCGAGAGGTCTGCTAGCTCTCCCCAAGGGTTGCCCTTAAAATCTCACCAATCAGTCCATAATCCCTATTGACTACTAGCCTCTCGCTTTTATACCACTTAACCCTTCTCACAAAGTGATAACTAAATGCTTAAGAGAATACTAACAAGTAGCAACAACTAATCAATCACCTAACTAACTTCTAGGAGCCTATCAGATGCCAGTTATTATCTATTGACATACATGACGACATTAGATTTATTTTCTTTAGAGAGGTTCTTTTGGATTTTGTAATGGTTAATTACAAGAATCTCTTGTCCATTTTGAGCTGCTTTTCAATGCCATAGAAGCTAAATTACGATTTTTTCTTCTGACTATATTTTAATTAAAATATATTCAATACCACCAACTTTTCAATACGATACTTTATATATATATATATATATATAATATTACAATTCAATACCATATAAGCTTTTTGTTGCAAATTTTCATTTGTCAATGGTAAGATTGGAGAGAATATATTAAAATATCATATTTAAGAGATACTGGAGAAATTCTTACATCCAAACTGTAGTTTTAAGGAAAGAAATAAGCAATCCTTTTTTATTAAATTAACTTGAGAAGAAAAACAGGAGAAATATATATAGCCCAAGATCAATGAATCCGTGGGATAACTCTCCTATCCTAGGAGAAAAAATAGGAGAAGATTATAAGCTTATCCTATCTGCTACCTAATATCCGAATCCTATATGCTATCTAATATTCAGATTTTATTTGAATAACAATTCCCTAAAACCTAGGGATCTCAATATCTTCGACACCCCCCCTCAAGTTGGTGCTTAAATGTTCATCATGCCCAACTTGCTAGTGAGAAGCTCAAAGTTAGGCCTGAATAATCCTTTGGTAAGAATGTAAGCTATTTGTTGTGTTGTAGGAACAAATGGCAAACAGATAATCCCTTCTTCTAACTTTTCCTTTATTAAATGTCGATCAACCTCAACATGCTTAGTTCTATCATGTTGCACTGGATTGTGAGCTATGCTAATAGCAGCCTTATTGTCACAGTACAACTTCATAGGTTCTTCTATTGGCTTTCCGAGTTCATCCAGAATCCGTTTTAACCATAAAATCTCGCAAACACATTGTGCCATGGCTCTGTACTCTGCTTCAGCGCTACTCCGTGCTACAACATTCTGCTTCTTACTTCTCCAAGTAACAAGCTTACCCCAAACAAATGTGCAGTAACCGGATGTAGATCTTCTATCAGTAACTGAGCTTGCCCAGTCAGCATCTGTATAGGCTTCAACAGTCCTTTGTTCACCTTTCTTGAAAAAAAGCCCTTTCCTTGGAGTACTCCTTAAGTATCTCAGAATTCGATATACTGCTTCAAGATGCTCCTCATAGGGAGAGTGCATAAATTGGCTCACAACGCTTACTGCAAAGGCTATATCTGGTCTGGTATGGGATAAGTAGATTAACTTTGCCACAAGCTTTTGGTACCTAGCCTTGTCAACTGGTGCTCTATCCGTAGTATCTCCAAGCTTTTGGTTTGGATCCATGGGAGTATCTGCAGGTCGGCATCCACTCATACAAGTTTCATTAAGAAGATCTAAAACATATTTCCTTTGAGAGACAATCATCCCCTTCCTTGAACGTGCCACTTCCATCCCTAGGAAATATCTCAATGCTCCCAAGTCTTTAATTTCGAATTCTAGAGCCAAGTTCATCTTCAGCCTTTCCATCTCTGCCAAGTCATCACCAGTAAGAATGATATCATCTACATATACTATTAAGATAGCAATCTTACCTACCTCGGACCGTTTAATAAAC